GAGATGTTACAGGCATGTTTACTGAAAGAAGTTATTAGAATGAGTTGATTAAGTTATAGAGATGTTACAGGCATGTTTACTGAAAGAAGTTATTAGAATCAGTTGATTGGGCTAAAGAGTTGTAACAGAATTACCTGATCAAGATTGGAATGATCCAAATCTTCTAAAGGCACACCACAAAAATTGGAGATATTCAACACATTAATATTATTCGTTGCTAGTGGTTCACAGCTGGGCTTCAATGTTTTTCTCTTCGGAATAAATCCGTATTCTTTCAACGCTTTTGCTCTCGTTTGTTCTAATCTGTAGAAGGAATCTCGAGTGAAATGATGCCAATTCACTTCTGATGATGAGCGAAGTGTCTCTGTGTGTTTGATGTTCATTTTTTTTCTTGAGCTATAAGTGTTAGAGAAGTTTGTTTGGTCATCTACTTTTCAGAAATTTCCTACCTTTATAAAATGTTTGAGTCAGAACAACAACAATGTAATTTTTATAATTTCATCTTCTATTGCATCAAAACTGGTCATAAGCATATGTACAAATAGTGCAATTTTTAACAATATTGTTACCGAATTTAGTGAAATATATTCATTTTTTCATCATCAATTGTTAGTCGTTGTTTTTTTCGCAAGAGGACTCTTCTAGTATTATATGTCAAACTATCCTATCAGAAATGTTCCATGATATAAAAGGAAAATCAACATTTATTTTTTTTTTATTCGAAAGTAATTCATCTATTTAATCTGTCGAAAATAATACAAGTAAATGGAACACGTCGTTGAAATGTACATTAACCACGGTAAAAATAAAATATCATGCAGTTAAAAGAATCGAAATAAAAAGTTCCTAACCTTTAGGTTTAAATTTATTACCACTTCATGGGATTACATCCTTGCAAAGCTGTCTTTAGAACAAGGTGAATATTAATATCTAAAATTGCTAGGATCAACACGATTGTTTTCCCTAAGTTGAAATAGAAGTTTGTCGACAAGATGTTCTTGCTTCCTTGGTCACAAACAGTGTGCAGCTGGGTCACCACTAGCAACAATTCACTTGATAACTAATTATAGCATCCCCGTGCCTCCCACGGCTTTTAGTTGGCGTTCTGTCAACATCACACGAGGACACAAGATTCTATAACAAAATACACTTTTTTACGTCAACGAAACCAACACAGAGTTTTAAAAATTGTTTATCTTAGAAACACTGAAAAGGGAAATGAAGGCCTCCATATCATATAGCATACAATTACGATCTAAGACATAGTTTAAACAAAGAACACGTTTAGATGTTTTTGTTTCTTTTCAAAGACCAACGTAATATATTCTAAATGTGAAACGTATAAGGTAATATGTCATGTATTTTTTGATGAAGTATCTCTTCAAAAATCTCTTATGAAAATGTAACAGAAGATGAAGCACAGTTTTGTAGTTTATTTAACACTGTTTGAAAGGTTAGTCATTATAGATATAAACAACGAATATCTATGAAACATATTATCCAACATTTAAGAGAATTAAATATCATTTAAAAAATATGAGACTTTTTTTTTTCTATGCTTGAATGTTTGTACACCGTTTAATGCTTCGTATAACGGTTCTTTGCACATAACTATCCCTAATTTTGATCTGATAGACTAAATGGAAAGCAACAGTTGTACAACAAAAGTTGTATTCTACACAATAATAGAATACAAAGGGTTGAGAGCATTATGCTACTTTATAAATATTTTATAAAGTTGCAGTGGAACAGAATGTATAAAAACAGATTTGACATTGTTC